GATTTTATTAACAAATCCCTTTCATCACAAACGAGATGAGTTCCAATCCATGTCCTTAAATACTTAATTTCGGCCCAATCCTAATTTACATACATTTGTCTTAATATTCCTCCCTCAAATTTAATCCCAGTGGTACACATGTATTCAATTTTTCAATCCAAAAACTTTCCATTTCTGTAGGTTTATTAACATCTGTAATATCAATAATTTGTGTTTTAAAATCATTAAGACCCGAATGGCCCTCCTCAAAAAAATGTTCATACAAATGTTGACCACATAAACCTCTTTGGCCCTTAGAAAATCTGTTAAGCGAACTCTTGTGGTTATTAAGCGAAATGACGTAACCGTATTGCCCACGTATTGTTTACTACGTTTTCCGCATGTAATTAAATAAACCACCCCCTGAGAGTTACAATCAAAGTGATCGTTAATGTGAAACGTACGCTGTTGTACAGTACTTTGAAAGTTATCCCCTACTACAATGGAATCACAAACCTTGCACTTTTTCCCCCCACATTTAACCATCCCTTTAGCTGCAACTTCAAACTTTTGCAATCTAGCAAGATGATCTTTCAGGAACAAGATGATCTTTCAGGTTTTTAGAACTCCTAAAACATACCATAGGCGGCTATGGCGTAACACTTAAGAACTTGCCATGATAAGCCTACAATATTTTGCAATTCCCTAAAAATTCCATAGAGTTCCCGTAATGCTGGATGATAGTCTATGATAAAGGTACTTTTATTATTTTCTCTTCTAATTTGTTCACTTTCCCCGAATATTCTTTCCCCGATAATCACCTCGCCTTCGGCGAATAATTGTTAAATATTTATTAAATGAGCTATGTTTGAATTCTTGTCAGCAATCTGTTTACGATAGTTTAGTCTTCATTTTCCTGGACTTATCATGCATTTTGTTTCGCTATTTAAATTCGGACGTGTTTAAGAATTTACTCATATAGTAAATTCAAAGGTGGAGCTCATGTTGTTCCTGGTTTAGTAATCCCCTTTCATACTCACTGAATAGAAAATATATCCAATAATACCATTAACATATTTTAATTCTATCAACAAAAGAGGTATGGGACTCTAGAAAGTTATATAGAACTACTTATATTTCCTCGAAAGACACTCCTGTGAAAAGCATTACTGATTATCGAGTAACTGTTTTGTACTTAGAAAACATTTGAACTTGAAGAATATCAATTTCCTGGAAAGCTGGAAACATTCGCACATTATAAATGCCAGCCAATCACATGAGACCATGCAGCCACAACGCTTAAATCCTGTTGGCGACAGACGTTTCTCAGTTCTAAGTCCTGCATGCATGCAGAAAACCTTGTGACCAGTGGTGTAAAGTCTATTTTCCAAAGGCAAATAAAGCAAGTAAGTGTTACATATGATTCATATAAAAATAAAACATAAATCATACACATGCACAGAAACTTTAGCACGGAAACGTTTTCTTCACATTGAAATCATAATTGAAATAGTGCCATGGCATTGGCATAGACTAGCATGGGCGTTCTCAATTAGTCAGGTTCATTTCAGTTAGAACTCAGAAGTTGATCACGTTATAACATTCATCAATATATGTTGACTTGTGCAAAACTGTTGCCAACTGTCTAAAGTAAAGGAATTAACGTGTGACTTAGTACGTTGAAACAAATTTTCGAGGCATGAGCCTGTTGGTATAGAATCTCAGTTCACTGACTCGCTCCGTCCGATCAGTATCGGGTTTGATTTATACTCATAAGCAGAGTGAAACTAAGCCAGTGCTCAAATACTCTATCGACTTTTGAAAAACATTTGACCTTCAATCAAGAATAAATGTACGAAACTTGACAATGCTTGATAACGGCTTTTAACTGAAACAAATTTTCGAGGCACGCGCGGGTGTCGGCCGAGCTTCGCAGTTTCAGTCGGCGCGGTATATATAAGCTTAAAAATAGCTTTATATGATGCAAATATTATCGACGAAAAGAATGAAAAAGATATTATTATGGTAAAGTAACTTGTAAGTTGTGGCAGAGAACGAGCGTTTTAATCGCTAGGCGGCAAGCGTAAAATGCATGCCGTCTCCTGTCCATCAATAATACATGCAATATGTCGCTGTTCGATGACCTAAATTATGCGAGCCCTCCAGAGAAAACTAAAAGCGCTACAGACTACAGTAGTGTACACAAATAATGTGTAATTTATCAGAGAAGAATGAAAAGCATTATTTCAAGAATTTTTCGCTGGGATAGAGCGTTTTTAGCATACTGACTTTTTGAATTTCGACTGACTTGTGGGCAGTGTCAATATATGTGGCAGTTTGACGACTCATCTTGTGCAAATTGTTCAGACAAAGTTTATATCGCTATATAAGCGTAGAAATAACTTCATATGATGCGAATATTATCGACAAAGAATGAAAAAAAATTATGATGACGATAAAGTAACTTGTGGCAGAGAACGAGCGTTTTAAATCGCTATAATGCGGCAAGCGTGTTTGCCGTCTCCATCAATATGTCGCTGTTCCGTCGATGACCTAACAAATGCGAGCCCTCCAGATGAAATGTACTAAAAGCGCTACAGACTAGCCGATTTTTTAAAATAATGTGAGTAATGTATAATTTATCAAAGAAAAATGAAAAACATTATTTGAAGGATGTGTTCATTTTTCGCTGAGATAAAGCGTTTTTAGTACATATATATATACTGACTGTGGACTGACTTAATTGTGGACAGTGTCAATATGTGGCGGTTCGCGACGACTCGTTTTGTCAAGTTGTTCAGACCATAGCCTATAGGCATGGCCGTATCGAAGGGAAGATAACTATGAAACTCATTAGAATAAAAAATATTCATTATTTAGTGTTAGTCAACGTTTATTCATAAATCTGGTCCTTCACCGTCACGTGCGTATTAATAGCAATCAGTTTTACGAAAGTTACCTTATCCGTGACTCGATCGAACAATAGGGTAAATTGGAAATTGCCTGGTGGATTTGGCAAAAACACAATACACACGTGGCAGTGAAGCCGAAGGACCATATTTATAGGAATAAACGTTGATTAACATAGATAATGAGGTATATATATTGTTATTCTAATAAGTTTCACATCCATCTTCCCTTCGGATAGGCTATTTCCAGACAAAGTTTAAACCGGTACAAGCGTTAAAAATAGCTTCATGTAATGCGAATATTATCGACGAAGAATGGAAAAATATCAGTATTATGATAAAGTAACTAGTGGCATTTTAGACCCCGTTCACATGATACCAGTAAATTTAGCAAAAAGTTTGCCACAACTATTACTTTTTTAATAGCAACAGCATATAATATTAACTTTCACGTCTTTTTCGATTATGCACCTGGAATAACCTGCCTTTTATCTTCATGGATTGTGTAGTGATACACGAAAAAGCCATCGATAGAAAGCTTATGGACCGTAGATTCCAAAAATATAACTTTCAGACCGTGACAAATTCAAGTTTATGCTATAACAGTGGCTTGAACTTCAATACAACATCAGGTTCGAAACAGCATATAATATTAACTTTCACGTCTTTTTCGATTATGCACCTGGAATAACCTGCCTTTTATCTTCATGGATTGTGTAGTGATACACGAATAAGGCATCGATAGAAAGTTTATGGACCGTAGATTCCAAAAATATAATGTTCAGACCGTGACAAATTCAAGTTTCTGCTACAGGGGCTTGAACTACAATAGAACATCAGGTTCGAAACAGCATATAATATTAACTTTCACGTCTTTTTCGATTATGCACCTGGATTAACCTGTCTTTTATCTTCATGGATTGCGTAGTGATACACGAATAAGGCATCGATAGAAAGTTTATGGACCGTAGATTCCAAAAATATAATGTTCAGACCGTGACAAATTCAAGTTTCTGCTACAGGGGCTTGAACTACAATAGAACATCAGGTTCGAAACAGCATATAATATTAACTTTCACGTCTTTTTCGATTATGCACCTGGATTAACCTGCCTTTTATCTTCATGGATTGCGTAGTGATACACGAATAAGGCATCGATAGAAAGTTTATGGACCGTAGATTCCAAAAATATAATGTTCAGACCGTGACAAATTCAAGTTTCTGCTACAGGGGCTTGAACTACAATAGAACATCAGGTTCGAAACAGCATATAATATTAACTTTCACGTCTTTTTCGATTATGCACCTGGATTAACCTGCCTTTTATCTTCATGGATTGCGTAGTGATACACGAATAAGGCATCGATAGAAAGCTTATGGACCGTAGATTCCAAAAATATAATTTTCAGACCGTAACAAATTCAAGTTTCTGCTACAGGGGCTTGAACTTCAATAGAACATCAGTGTGATAAAAGAATAGCTGTATATAATTATATATTATGAATATGTAAATTAATGGATTATATAAGGAGCCCAGAGTTTGAAGCGAGCAGAGAGAAAAACAAGACAAGCAAGGAAGGAGTTCCTAAACATTCAAAAACCGACGACGACCTTCAGGAGAAGAACAACGTGGAAAGATATCTTGCTTTTGTTGGAAGTATACTAAAGTTCGCTGACTATATATACGCTCAAGTTCATTTGAGATCGACAGAAAACCATCTCGAAGCGATTTAAGAATATTCAGATTGTTAGCAAGTTTCGTCACGCTTTTGTTCATAAGACATATCCGTTGAAATTCTCAACAAACAAGATACGACGCTGTTATATGTTTGATACTACGCGGAAAGTTAAGCGCTGTGGGCTAGCTGAAGAAAGAAGACGTAGCTACACTCTGTTGGACTCGGGTTTGTTAAAATAAATACTTTAGGAAATTAGATAACTCTTAGTAATTACAGAATTAAAACCTTTATGTTAATTGTAGTACAGTGGGTTTTATTGACTTGTGTTATTGTGAACTGCAGCGCCCACGTCGGCGATAGAAATCGTCACAATTGGTGGCAGTGGTGGGATAATCAAGGCTGCGAAGTGTTATTAGTAAATTGTAGTGTCAGGATGACCGACTATAATGACTGGCAATTAGATGCGCTACGGGAGGAATGTACTAGAAGAGAATTAACAATAAATTCAAAAGACGGTGTTAAGACATTGGCTGCCAGATTACGTACATATGATATAAATTTTGTTGTTGGGAAAACGGATGAGGCACAAGCATTAGCTCACGATACCCAACCTGGAGAGTTTGAGAATGATGAACACATGCAAAATCTTTCAGATAGCCTGGGTAAATTGAAATTGACCAGTGATCTGCCGATGAAAAATGGGGGCGAAATTCCCGGGGATACTTTAAGTTTTCGGGAGAGGATGGAGCTCTTACGCTTTGAGCGGGACTTAGAACGTGAGAGGGAGGAGAGAGAAATCAGAAGAGAGGAGCGTAGACAACGAGCTAGATTTGAGGATAGGGCGTTTGAGGTAGAACTAGAGAAAGAAAGAGCTAAAACTCCATCAGTTTCCGGATGCTCGGGAAAATTTGTTAAAGTGCGAGAAATGAGGGAGACTGAAGATATCGATGATTATTTTCGGATTTTTGAAATGACGGCTAAAACACAGCAAATCCCACGGTCAGAATGGTTAGGAAGTTTGGCAGCACGTTTAAGCGAAAAAGCTAAATCTATATTTTTGGAAATTTCGGGATTGGATGCCTGTAACTATGATAAAAGCAAGGAAATCATATTGAAATCGTACCAACTTAATGTAGATCATTATAGGTTTCGGTTTCGACATACCGAGAAAAAACCGGATGAAGATTTCGGGCAATGGGCTCATAGGACGAGGCGGTATTTGGACAGATGGATGTCAGTAGCTAAGGCAACCGGCGATGCTGAAAAAATTTTAGACCAATTAGTGATTGAACATTTACTAAATAGCGTCGGGGGGGAATTATGTATTTGGTTAAAGGAAAGGAAACCAGCCACTGCGGAGGAATTAGCGACGTTAGCCAATGAGTATGTGCAAATTAGGAAGGGCCCTGTAATAGGGGGGAAATTGGAGCAAAGGGGGAAGTTCGACAAGTCCAAGGTTAAGTGTTTTTCATGTCAAGAAAAAGGGCATTATGCTTATGAGTGTAAAAATCGGAATACCGAAAAGGGGGGCCATTTAGGTATTTCCTCCACACCTGGGTATAAAATTTCTGATCGCATGCATACTAAAGGGCAATTGAATGGGCGGATTATAGATATGGTAATTGATTCAGGGTGTTGTACTGTAGAACATTAGTGCGTGAGAAATTTGTAGGAAATAACCGCTATACAGGGGAATTAATGACAGTTTTGATGGCGAATGGAGATCGGACCAGAGTTCCTCTGGCTTGGGTTGAAATTCAATACGGTATTCACAAGGAGTTAGTTGGGGTGATGCATAATCTTCCCGTAGACTGCTTGTTAGGTCGGTCTTCCTTTGGCCTGTCTTTAACTAAGGAAGATTTATTGAAACAATGGGATCAATGTGTGGGGTATTCTTGTCAATCGGGAAACTTGGCTGAGGAGCAAGCATTTGTTCTTACCCGTAGGCAAGTGGCATTACAACAGGCTCAAACGCAACTAGATCAACGGATAGATAAACACAATCAAATGATTGTGAAAAAATTACAATGGAATGAGAATCAGGGTAATAATGAATCAGTAGATGATTATAATTTGAATGAGTTGTTTGAGACTGAGCCAAATCTTAATGAGCATAACGAGGAGCCCAATAAAGAATGCAAGGCACCGACTGAAACGATTGAAGGAAAACGTAATATACTTAATCGTGATCGTGCTCAATTAATTCAGGATCAAGCCAAAGATGTAACTTTAAGTAATTTAAAAGTCTCCGATATTGCGCCGTTGGAAACGGGAGGGGGGGTTTTCCGGGTGAATAATGTGTTGATGCATAGGAAATTTAATAAATATCCCCATGATGGGTTATTTCATGTGGATCGAATTGTGGTTCCGGAGGTATATCGACCGGAAATATTAAGACTTGGCCATACAATACCCTTAGCTGGTCACATGGGACAAGAAAAGACTTTTGAAAGAATATCTATGCACTTCTTTTGGCCCCGGTTGTAGAGTGAAGTTAAAAATTATTGTGCAACTTGTCCTCAGTGTCAACTGGTTGAACGTAAATTGGTAAACAATAGGGCCCCACTTAATCCCGTAAAAATAGTTACGGAACCTTTTAAAAAAGTGGCTATCGATTTAATAGGGGAGTTGCCACGAAGTAAAAACGGGTATAAATATATTTTGACATTAGCTGTCGACTATGCAACTCGATATCCCGAAGCCATACCACTTAAAACGACACAGTCAAGGGTGGTCGCCGAAGCTTTGGTGAATATATTTTCCCGGGTAGGGTTACCAGAAGAGATTGTTTCTGACCAAGGGTCAAATCTGGTGGGGAATTTAATGAAACAGTTGTATGAACTGTTGGGAATTAGGCATATAAAAACCTCAGTTTATCATCCGGAGGCCAATGGGTTAGTGGAACGGTTTAATGGAACTCTAAAGCACATGCTTAAGAAATTTGTGGGTAGGGAGATTGAATCCTGGGATAAGTATCTGCCTTTTGTATTATTTGCGTACAGGGAAGTGCCGTGCCAGTCAACAGGATATTCCCCTTTTGAATTATTATTTGGAAGAACCGTACGAGGACCTTTTACTGCTGTCAAACACGCTTGGGTTTCTTCGAAAATATCGGAAGACTACCTAGATTATGTATTAGAAACCCGTAAAAGATTAACACAAATGCATGAAATTGTTCATGAAAATTTGAAAGGAACACAGGAAAACAAAAGAAATTATATGATCGGCAGAGTTCCCGAAGGCTTCTTGGGGTGGGAGATAGGGTGTTAGTGTTGCTCCCTACGCCCGGAAGTAAACTAGAGATGAAATGGCAAGGACCCTTTATTGTAAGTAAAGCGTTTGAGAATGGATTAAATTATGAAGTTGATAGGGGAAAGGGGGACAAACAAAAACGTGTATATCATCAAGTAAAGGATAAAAATCGTAAGTTCCTGCGGTGGAGTTTGACTCTTCAAGAGTATGAGATAGAGTATGAGCATAAGGCGGGGGAAAAGAATGTGGACGCCGATGCGTTAAGTAGAATCAGGGCGCTATAAAACACGGGCGTGGAAACGGCAATGACGCCCCTGATCTATGTGTGATGCGCGAACCCCCCGTAGGTTTTCGAATATTGGAAATTCTCATTCGAATATCAACATTTGAAAAGAAAGACACGGCAAGAGTTAAAATATTATTTAAGAAACATGTTCATGGCCTAGTTGAACTCATTTGCAAATGAACACCAAAACGATTTACCTCTGGGATGAACTATATGGAATGAGAGGTTTATGTACTTAAGGTTTATGTACTTAAAGTTTATGCTACAGTCAAGAGGGAATATTGTAAAGAAAATGTGGTTTGTCTAGAACAGCCTGAAAAGGTCAGTGCACTTTTAAAGACATAAAGTGGTTGAAACGGATATTTTTTCTAAAGATACGGTTTTTCCTACGAGTCTACAGATTGGGACTATCTTTTAACGTCATAGAGAACTGAAAAAAATACAAGTCGAAATATTTTTTTCCGCGCTTCGTGTTTCATGAGTAAAAATCGCTGAGTGTTTTATGAGTAAAAATCGCTGACAGTGCCGGTAAAAAATCATGTTTTAACAAAAAAGCCGGTCTTCTTTTTAAGAAAAATCAACTTTAAATAACTTTGACAACAACTGTGCAAATTTTTAGGCAAAGTTTTTCACCTGGAAAAAAAGATATAAATAAAAAAAATTTTCCGCGGTTTGAGTTTCATCGAGGGGCATTTCACTCCAAAAAAGCGTACGGGATTTTTGGATTTTTAAAAATCCGCGGATTTTTAGCGGATTTAGCGGATTTTCCCCGGATTTTTTTGCGGATTTTTGAAGAGAAAATTTGCTGGATTTTCCGGATTTGTTCAGATTCTCCGGATTTGTTCGGATTTTTTCTGGATTTTTGAAAATCTGTTTGATTTTCCGGATTTGTTTGGATTTTCCGGATTTGTTCGGATTTTTTCTGGATTTTTTTTAATTATAGAGTTATAGAGCTTGGTAACGTTTTGAACAAATAATCTTAAGTTGTACGATGTCAACGTTATGCCAGGACGTCAGGGTCGAGCAGAGGATTGGGACTAGGACCACAGCCTTCAGAAACTAACGAAGGCTGGGCATGCAGTCATTTTGTTTAAAATTCAAACAAGTTCATTATTCTTTCAAAAACAGTAAAAGACAATGGTGAACAACTTTTGATTTTGTAATTATATTTTACAACATAACGTCATTGTAACAAGAACACATATTTAGTAGTAATAGGCTAAAAAAACTAGCGTATACTCGAGCGTATAAATGGAAATGTAGAGTGGTCCAATAATTACGAAATATACTAGTAATGACAGCGATCACGGTAAGCGTTTAGCTTTCGCTGTCCGCCAATTTGAACGTGGCAAAGAACCTTTACGAGTAAATTACACCAAGTACTTCATATATTTTTTGTGGATTTGCGGATTTTTTAAGGATTTTGAAGGATTTCTGTGCATTTTTGAAGGATTTCTGTGGTTTTTAAAGGATTTTTTTGGATTTTGATGGATTCAACGGATTTTGAGGATTTCATGGATTTTTTCTGGATTTTTTCCGGATTTTTTGACGAAGTGTACGAGATTTTTGGAGTGAATTGCTCCTCGCATACAACTGTTTATGAAACGGCCACATTTGATATACGCACGCCAGGTGATCTTGATACGCGGAAAAGTACTGGCACTAGTTGTCAAATAGAAATCCATTTTATGATTAAAACAACTGAATATCTCCTGTAATATACTTTATTTCGATTCCATATTTTTGTCAGAGCTATAGTTCTCATAACCAAACATAATTACAATGCAAAATTTCAACTAGTTTCATAAAGAATAATGAAAGATAATTGATTGAATACATCAAAATGGATTTCTATTCGGACAACCCTTTCTGAGCGCTGATTGGCTAAAATACGAACACGAGATCACCTGGCGAGTTTCCTCGACAATAATGGCACAAAAGTCCCACATGGCTGAGCGTGTTCCTAAGATTGAACGCTGTTCATCAGTTTACAGTGGCGTAACGTTACATCAAGGGGCCCCCGGTTCAAAATTTTCGAAGCCCCCCCCCCCTAGTAGAAGTGCCAAAGGCACGAGTGGAGCGCCGTATATGCACGAGTTTTCTAGGGGGTCCAGGGCATGGTCATCCGGAAAATTTTTGAATCTAGACTCTCTGAAATGCCATTTCCTGGACTTTGGGGAGAGATTTTACAGAATTCTGATGGTCATAAAACGACATTGTAACATATCAGAGGCCCTGGCCAATGTTTTTGCCCTATCGCCTAAGCCTGGGGGCCCCCATTTGGGTTGGGGGCCCCCGGGTTCACCCGGTCTGAGCCCATAGTAGTTACGCCACTGTCAGTTTATTCAAAACAATAAATAAATAATAGTAAGTTATACCAACCTTAGGTCCAGGATATGATTATTCCTTGACCGACCTATTATCACTGAGCTATACTATATTACTGGAGGAGGTGCTCCTATCTCTCTTCAGTCAAACAAGTGTCGCCAAAAACATGGCGGATTTCGTTGGATTTCGGCCTTTGCTGACGCCAGAATGACGCCACTGGTCCCAAATCCTCGTGGTAATTACCACTGAGCAAGGCTCATTTTGAGCCCGCTACCACTTTCACATCCCCCTGATTTTCGCAAAAATATTTTAGCTTTTTGTTTTGGAGTTTGACTCGGATTTTGCCTTCTCTTCGACATTTTAACATTTGTTTCGAGTTGCACAAGTGGCAAGAATCATGCTGGCTAGTGAAGACAGGGAACAACGAATATTTAAACCTCAAGAAATTTCGTAAAGACGTTATTTGTAAAGGTAAAAATATACTGTTTATATGTTCAATATTTATTTGTGATAAAGTAGGTCAAAACAAAGCGAAATAAACATCATATTTGTACTGTGTAGTGGACAATTTTAGCAACTGATGTATACAATTAAGTTGTCAAAACTATATTAATACGAGAAACAGTCTTTCTCGAAAGAAAATGGTTGAAATTTCAGATGTTAGTTTCATTTGTTATTTCAAATTTTACGATATAAAATGCCATTTTTGACCACCATCTGCTTCATGATACTACTTAGTAAATTTAAAGTGCTTTCTATTATATTAGTGTACCTATAGAGAACGACCTTTTTAAGCCAGAACTATCATCACTTTGAATGATTTAATCCATGTACTTAACTGGCCACTGATGGCAATGAAATTATAATGTGTAGAATTATCAAGTCTATCAAGATCCAAAAATTGGCTGTTAAATTCTACCAACTTCTGTTGAAGCTAGTTTCATATATAAGATGAGGTTTAGAGGCCTGTAGCATTTTCCCTAGAAATTGCATGAGTAAAATTAATTTCATAATTAACCCATTGAGCCGCAATGCGCCCTACTTATTTTTTACTTGTAACGCCAGACGATATTATACTCGTCAATGGGTCATTCCAGAAAACATGTATACCACCCCCACGGAGGAAATAGGAAGTTAACCCCCCCTACCCCCTTTGGATGTCCTAAATAATTAAATACATTTACTATTATCAGAAACAATTTTTTCTCTCCTCCCCCTCCGGACGGCAGAAATTTCCTCAGTGAGGGGGAGTATATGGATCTTTTCTGGAACGACCGAATGGGGAAGCTCTGCAGCTCAATGGGTCAAGAAAATGAAACATTCTTGATGATATTTGATGTTGGCAATTCATGCATTTTTGGAGGAAAATATTTTACACAGTGGTTTTCGCCTGACACCAAACCCCAATATTTACATGCTATTTGTCTGAAATATTTTCCTCATTCTTTCAACATGCCAAAGTGATACAAAATAAATTTCAGTTGAATTCAAACAAGTCCTCGGGCCCTGAGTTGTCAAGACTATCACCTTAATTGTTAGCAGCATGTATCTGCTAAGCCCTGGGTTCAAATGAGTGGAATTTCAAGAGCATTCTGACCAGCTTTGTGCACACAGGTGGCCTTACCGGTCAGGATGAGGGCCAGTTAAGGTTACAGTTGGGTGTCGGCAAGGTTCATGTAAACTTATTGTTTAATAAGCAAGAATGTTATGTGTACACAATCACGTGTAATGTCGTATTGGATTAATAGCAGTTAAATGTTGGGATCCAGTATCGAACAGTAACCACAACAATTATTAGATAAAGTATTTGGTTGTTTTAGTGTAATATTCATTTCTCACATATTTTTTTCAGAAATAAAGTACCATTCAGCAACTTGTTGGGAAAGAGGAGTCACAAACTGTTGATGAATATATTTAATTAACTACATCCACATAAAATACAATTTTATTAACAGTATTTATTAGATGACATTATTTTCATATTAATTAAAAATAAAATTAACAAATAAATTACAAAATCAGTGTGAAAATATTGCAATAATCAATTAAAATGTCAAACCAGCCAATTGTTTCAATTATGCATTTTTGAGTGTAACCTAACCCCCCCCCCCCTCTTGAGAGAACAAGAGAGTTGCTGTAGGCCTCCATTATCCCTTTTGATAAGTGGCAATGCACCATATAATTTTCCTGTCAAATGCCAGACAAAATACTTGTCAATGCAAGGGCAGAGCTCTGGCACTCTATGGGCTGACCAGTATATGCCTATGCATCCTATTAAGCCTTTGACAAGATGCAATGCAACCCAATGCACCCTACTTTATTATTATTCTGTCTAATGGCAGACAATATTATTTGTGAAGGGGAGAGTGCTGAATGAGTTAACCCTTTAAGTGGCATGCACCCT